GCAGGCAGAAAAGAGTGACATTTCCTAGGTAGTGTATGCATATGTATGTCACAAGGCCCCCTATGGGCAGGGCCCAGGCAGGAGCCTCTTATATTCTAGGTGTTGAAACCAGCATTATTTCACAATACACCAAATATTTGGGACCTAGGAGAAAGGAAAGTCACATCATGTAGGTGCTGGACCAAGTGATACATTAAATTCACCCTCATTAGCAGGGCCCAGGCAGAAAATCACACCCAGGTGATAAACAAAAGATACAGCATATTATGTATCTGTACAGCATATTATGCACCTGTGGGCAGGGCTCATGCAGAAGAGTTGCATCACATAGTTGTTAAGATAGGCCATATGTTACACTACACAATTCATGCTGAGCTCAGGCAGGAGAAAAGAGTAACATCACTGTGTCCTGGGCTCAGTGGTACATCACAATACCTCCTTGGTCAGAGCCCATGAAGTAGAAAAGTTTCCTCACCTAGGTGCTGGGTCCATCAGTATGTCACAGTACTCACTGAAGGAAAGGCCAAGAATGAGGATTACATCATTGTGGTGAGGAGCCCCGAGATATGTGCCAGTGATCCCTGTAAGTAGGGCTTAGGATAAAAGAAGAGAGTCACATGACCTGTCACATGGCCTAGACAGATGAGCCCAGCTTTATGTCAAAATTACAACAGTGGTCAGAGTCCAGGCATGAGAGGAGAAGGACATCACATAAATATTGGGTGAAGGAATATGTCACAATCCCCAATGGGGACAGAATCAGGAGAATTACTCCATCTAGGTAATGGGCCCAGAGATATGCTGCAGTGACTCCTGTGGGCAATGACCAGGCAGCAGTATCACATCACCTGTGTGTTGGACTCGGTGATGAGTCACTCTGCCTTCTGTGGGCATAGCACATTCAAATGAGGAGTTACAACACCTAGGTGCTGGAATCAGAGGCATGTCACAATCTCTTCTAATGGCAAAGACCAGGTAAGCAAGAAGAATCAAATAGTTCATGAACTTAGAGATATGTCACAATGCCCCTTGTGGGCAGTGTCCAGGCAAGAGACATTAGCTTGGTGCTGAGCCCAGCAATATGTCACAAAGCTTTCTGGGTCAGGACCAAGGCAAAAACGTGACATCACCTTACTGTTTGGTCCAGAGACATGTCACAACCTCTCCTGCAGGAAGAACCTAAAAAGGATAGAAGAGTCACATCAACTAAATGTTGGGCCCAGTGATAGGTCAGAATAGTTCCTGAGAGCAGAGATCAGGCAGAAGTCACATCACCTGGGTAATGGGTGCAGCGATGTCACAGTGCCTCCTGTAGGGCCCAATCAGGAACGTTACATCACCTGGGTTTTGGAACCAGTAACGTATCACAGTGGGCCATTTGGGCAAGGTACAGGCAGGATAATCACATAACCTGGGTGTGGGGCTCAGTGATACGTCACCATGCCTTTTGTGCACAGTGACAAAACAGAAGGGCAGACTCACATTAACTGAATATAAGGCCTAGTTACAGTGATAATGTCACAATGCTGTCTGTGGGCAGTGCCAAGGCAGTGGAATAGAGTCCCGTCATGAAGATGCTGGGTTTAGCACTATGTCAGAATTCCATCTGTGGGTTGGACCCAGGCAAAAGGGTCAGATCAGTTAGTTGCTGGACTGAGGCATGTGCAACACAGTCTCACATGCAGAATGATACAAGAATAAAATTAAAATTCTTGCACATGACCCAATTCTAAGTACGGGAGTCCACATCCCCTCCGTCCCCCGCCCCCCTTTTCTTCTCTTTTCTGTCTTTGGCACAGCTCAGGCAGAAGAGAAGAGTCACATCATCTAGGTGATGAATAAAAAGATACATTATTCCCCTGTGGGTAGGGCTTGCACATAAAAGTTGCATATTCTAGGTGTCGAACTCAGCAATATATCACAACGTCTGCAGCACTTTGAAAGGAGAGGAGAGCCACGTCACTTAGGTGCTAGGCCCAGCAATACATCTCTATCACTTCTTGGGCAAAGCCCAAGAGTCACAGCACCTAGGTTCTGGGTATAGCAATATGTCACATTACCTTCTAAGACGAGGACCCAGGAAAGAGAATCACCATGGTGAGAATCTCAGAGATATGCAGCAATTCCATCTTTGGCTATTCACAAAAAAGAAGAAAGTCCCATAACCTAGAAGCTGAGCTCAGCTCTATGACACAGTCACCCTAGTGGACAGGTTCATTAAAGAGTGTCACATAATGTAGGTGCTGGATAAAGTGATATGTCATAATCCTCATGGTGATAGGCCCAGAAACATGTCAAAATGACCTCTTTAGGCAGAGACCAGGCAGAAGAATCACATCACTTGTGTGCTAGACCTAATTTTTGTATTTTTAGTAGAGTTGGGGTTTCACCATGTTGGCCAGGCTGGTCCCAAACTTCTGAACTTGGGATCCGGCTGGGCGCGGTGGCTCAAGCTTGTAATCCCAGCACTTTGGGATTCCGAGGCGGGTGGATCACGAGGTCGAGAGATCAAGACCATCCTGGTCAACATGGCGAAACTCCGTCTCTACTAAAAATACAAAAAATTAGCTGGGCATGGTGGCACGTGCCTGTAATCCCAGCTACTCAGGAGGCTGAGGCAGGAGAATTGCCTGAACCCGGGAGGCGGAGGTTGCGGTGAGCCGAGATCGTGCCATTGCACTCCAGCCTGGGTAACAAGAGCGAAACTCCGTCTCAAAAAAAAAAAAAAAAAAAAAAAAATGAACTTGGGATCCACTTGCCTCAGCCTCCCAAAGTGCTGGGATTACAGGCTGAGCCACTGCACTTGACTGCTTTTATATTACTATATTTACTCATCCACTGTCTTATAAAAAGAAAATGAGATCACAGTAATGACTAGTAGCAGTGTGTTCCTCTGATGTATATGAAATATTTAAGTTCTAGACTTCCTCAGGTATACACAGAATCATTTACATAATGTATAAATTTACAACACCAGGGACACTGCAAAAACAAAAAGCATAAACGATGCTATAATGTGTTATTACATGAAATGTTGGTGTCTTGTGCACCTGTGGTTTGGAGCATTGCATGTTTATTACATGTTTCCTTGCCAACTTGTAGGAGCCATTTATTCTTGAAACTTATTAATACATTTACATTAGTGCATTGTTTATTTCATAAACTATGACACCTAAGGGAGAATGAATGACTGGGTTTCTTAATCTTTACAGATCAGAGAAGAATTACAGGACATGGAAGTTGACTTGTACAGTATGCAAAGTATCCATTAGCAAGCAAGCTCATAGGTTGTTGTGAGGATTAAATGAGAAACCCTTATAATCAACGCTAAATATTATATGTTTTTATAAACAAACGTGAGATCTTGAAATGCATACTGTCTCTGGATTCTCTTGGTTGTGCTAAGTTTGTATATTTGGTGTCCCATATGAAGTGCTTAGAAACAGATATGAAATTAAGCAAGAGCTTAATGTGTGATATATATTATTATTACTGCTGTCATTATGGTTCTGAAATTGTAGTTCTTTGGGTCAGTGCAAAAAACAAGTGGTTAAAAGGGGATGGAGGAACTACTCTTAAAGTATAACAAAATTTATAATCTTTCTGTTTACAGGAAATCTGGAAAGTATTTGCTACTGATTAGGAAAACGTTTTTTTTTTTTTTTTTGAGACGGAGTTTCGCTCCTGTTACCCGGGCTGGAGTGCAATGGTGCAATCTCGGCTCACCGCAACCTCCACCTCCTGGGTTCAGGCAATTCTCCTGCCTCAGCCTCTCGAGTAGCTGGGAACAGGCACGCGCCACCATGCCCAGCTAACTTGTATTTTTAGTAGAGACAAGGTTTCACCATATTGACCAGGATGGTCTCGATCTCTTGACTTGTTATCCACCCGCCTGGGCCTCACAAAGTGCTGGGATTACAGGCGTGAGCCACCGCGACCGGCCAGGAAAGCCTTTTTTATTAGAATACGTCCATCACTGAATGGGAAAGCAGGAAGAGAATCTGTCAGTGATGTGTAAAAAAATACTGTGGAGGCCGGGCGCGGTGGCTGACGCTTGTAATTTCAGCACTTTGGGAGGCCGAGGCGAGCGGATCACTTGAGGTCACAAGTTCAAGACCAACCTGGCCAACATTGTGAAACCCTATCTTTTTAAAAGAAAACAAACAAACAACTGCGGGTTAAAAAACTATCTTAGCGTGAAACACACAGTTTTATGTGTTAACATTTCTCTATCAATTTAGAAAATAATTTTCTGGAAATAAATAAGATTTACAAACAATTTTTTTTTTTTTTGAGACGGAGTTTCGCTCTTGTTACCCAGGCTGGAGTGCAATGGCGCGATCTCGGCTCACCGCAACCTCCGCCTCCTGGGTTCAGGCAATTCTCCTGCCTCAGCCTCCTGAGTAGCTGGGATTACAGGCACACGCCACCATGCCCAGCTGATTTTTTGTATTTTTAGTAGAGACGGGGTTTCACCATGTTGACCAGGATACTCTCGACCTCGTGATCCACCCGCCTTGGCCTCCCAAAGTGCTGGGATTACAGGCTTGAGCCACCGCGCCCGGCAAGATTATTAAAAAAAAAAAAAAAAAAAAAAGCCGGGAGTGGTGGCGCAAGCCTTTAATCCCAGCTACTTGGCAGGAGAATCACTGGAACCCGGGAGGAAAAGATTGTAGTGAGCCGAGATCGCGCCACTGCACACCAGCCTGGGCAACAGAGCGAAACTCCATCATAAAACAAAACAATCTCAAGCTGCTTGCTCAAAGGACCAGAAGCCAGGAAGGTTATAAAGGCTAAGCTTTAAAAATAATTTTTATTCTTTTCATGTGTGAGCAGCCATATAGTATATTATTTATAAATACGCAAAGGCTACAGGCAAACCCCTTCTGGGGTGGGCCTGGCTCAGCTCAGGGAAGAAGCCCTGTTTGAAAAGGCTGTACCTTTGGCTGTCACTCTTTCTTCAATCAAGCCAGCATTTGGTCATGTCTTCTGTCATTCAGGCTCTGAGGCGGCGGGGACTTAAACCTTATCCAATTAGCGAGGCTGCTCTGGGAACCGTCCAATCAGGCACGGAGAAAGGCTGGCTTCCGGGATGTGGCGGCGGATTTGTCTCTCGCTGCAGCCGGAGTTCGGGTTTTGTCTTCGCTGTCCGCTGCTCTTATAGGTCCAGCCTGTGTGAGACCTGCTGGTACTGGAGATCCACAGTTAAGACGCCAGGATCCCCCGGAAGCCTAGAAATGGTGTGAGTGCTGGGTCTGATATCCCAAGAGAGGGGAAGGGGCTGGTTGGAACCGGGGGGGAAGTGGCTGTGGGGACTCAGACCTCCCCGCAGTCAACTCAGCAATCTGTTCCCGGAGTTCTCCTTGCCCAGCTCCGCCTCAGTCCCCTTCAGCAATAAGATGGCGTCTGCGCAGTGACTGTCCCCTGGCCTGGAGCCCTCTCTGGGCAGCTATGCACCGGCAGCTCCGGGTCTCTTGCAGATTTTCTCTTTTAGGGACCACCGGAGGGTTGCCAGGGGAGAATCCTGACGCAGTTTCCGGGTCATGAATGGGAAGAGCTTTGGTTTGCTTTAGGGGGTTCTCAGTTTCTCATTTCTCCTATTAAAAATTTGTGGGAGGGGCCGGGCGCGGTGACTCACGCCTGTAATCCCAGCACTTTGGGTGGCCGAGGCAGGTGGATCACGAGGTCAAGAGATCGAGACCATCCTGATCAACATGGTGAAACCCCATCTCTACTAAAAATACAAAAAAAAATTAGCTGGGCATGGTGGCACATGCCTGTAATCCCAGCTACTCAGTGCATTTCTCTAGGTGATCTTCATTAGTATAAGGGTTTTCACATGGCCTAACAACCAATCATACTTAACATTACCAATTTTAAAATTGGTAATAAGATTTGGCTGTGCTCCTACCCAAACTCTCATCTTGAATGCATAATCGTCATCTGTGAAGCGAGAGACCAGGTGGAGTTAATAATTGAATGATTGGGGCAGTTTCCCTATGTGAGGGAGTTCTCACGAGATCTGATGGCTTTATAAGTGTTTGGTAGTTCCTCCCCCATTTATTCTTCCTCCTACCACCTTGGGGGAGTGTGTCTTGATTTCTGTTGTCAGTCACCGTGAATGCAGGCCTCCTGATTCTTCCCCAGTCATGCAGGACTGTGAGTCAATTGACATTTTTTTCTTTATAAATCCCGCAGTCTCTGGCAGTTCTTTATTCCATGGTGAGAACAGACTAATACAATTATTAGTATTTTCTCTCTTTCTCCTTTCAGATATGGCAAGGAAGATTGCCTTCCCAGCTGCTTCTGAAAGCCTACACGTAACTAAGGTAAGGCAATCTTGGGATAAAGCAAGTTTTGTTTGTGGCACAAATGGGAGAGAGAATACGCCAGGGTACATCAGGTACTTCTGAAGTCTCCCTTACATCTGTACTTATAAAATGTGAGATAATACATTTCCCAATTGCCTGAGACAATTTGAGGGAACATTTCTGTATATTTGTTTGGCTTTTTCCAGCCTGAGTTCTTTAGCTGGTATAAATGGGTTGTAGAGTTTAGTAATTGTAATTGACATTGCTATCAGAAATGCTGAAACAATACATTAGAAAGCCAGGGGTATGAGAGGATTTCATGGAGAAGGGGGTAAAGTGGAGGTGGGCGTGAAAGGCACCTTGCATCTCAAGAACTTTAGCAACACTTGGACCAGTAGAGTTTCACAGTTGCAGTGGCGGGGGGGAAAAGTAAGCATATGTAGTGTTTGGGTTAGGGGGTAGAAAAGACACAGAAGCAACTTTAATTGAGAACTTAGGTTCTTGGTACTGTTTTCATTTCAGATATATTACTACATTTTTGCTTCTCAATAGCACTAATAAGTAGATATTTAAAGAGTTAGAAACCCAAAACTCTGAGATATTAAGTAATATTTCCACAATCGCTCAGCTAGCATAAAACTCCTCTACCATCCACAGTGCCTCTACATCCGTCACCACATATAGCATACTTTAATAATTTAGGAAGTAAAAAAGTACAGAATACATTTTAAAAAGTGATTCATCAAAGGTGCTAACATGAAGATGATGTATTGTCATCTCCCAACTCTAAGAAATATTTACTAATTCAGAATAGATTCAGAAAAGAATCAATCCTGAAGGTTTCAGGTGTTTGTGATAAATGTTTCAGTGTACTCAAAGCATAACACCCCAGAGAATTTAAATTCTTGGACTAAGGAATGATTCCATTATCTGAAAGATCTCACCACAAAGACCTGTACATGCTAATGCTGACTAACTCCAGGAAGTCTTTTTTTTTTTTTTTTTTTGAGACAGAGTTTCCCTCTTGTTACCCAGGCTGGAGTGCAATGGCGCGATCTCGGCTCACCGCAACCTCCGCCTCCTGGGTTCAGGCAATTCTCCTGCCTCAGCCTCCTGAGTGGCTGGGATTACAGGCACACGCCACCATGCCCAGCTAATTTTTTTTTAGTATTTTTAGTAGAGACGGGGTTTCACTATGTTGACCAGGATGGTCTCGATCTCTCGACCTCGTGATCCACCCGTCTCGGCCTCCCAAAGTGCTGGGATTACAGGCTTGAACCACCGCGCCCGGCCCAGGAAGTCTTCTTACATGACTAATACCACAAAGCCAAGTGGAAAATATCCCAGAAGTCTCTGGTGCTTGGTGTGTTTCTCTAAGTTTTGCTGAAATGATTGAAAATATAGATGAAGTGGGAGAATTTACGGATTGTTATTTATGTAATATAATTTTTTCCCTTTGCCAGTATCCTTCTCTGCTTCAAAGCAAACATTTTTAAATAAAGATGAGTGAATAAAGATTGATTATATAAGGTTTTGGGGAAGGAGGGCCAAGATGGCATGGTTTGCATTTTGTGTCATTTCCCCCCTCAGAATCATTTTTTTCTGGGAAGCTTGGAGTGTGAGTCTAGAAGAACACATATTTGAACTGTGTGAGCTCCCTTATATGCAGATTTTTTAAATTAAAGCTATAACCTGCATGCCTGCCTCTCCTCCCTTTCTCTCCACCACCTTCATATCTTCTGCCTTTGCACCTAAGGCAGTAAGACCAATGCTTCCTCTTTCTCCTCCTTCTCAGCCTATTCAGTGGAAAGATGAGCATAAAGACCTTTCTGATGATCCACTTCCTCTTAATATATAGTAATTATATGTTATTTTTCTTATGATTTTTAAAATACTATTTCTCTTCCTCTAGCTTACTTTATTGTGTGAACACAGTATATAATACATAAAGCATACAAAAGATGTGTTAACCGTTTATGTTGGCTGTTGGTAGATTTTGGGGAGTCAGAAATTGTATGCAGGTTTTCAACTGTGCAGGGGGACAGTAGCCCCAACCCTCAAGTTATTTATGGGGTGAACTGTTCTTTCTTCTTCTTTCTTCCATAAAACGTCTGACTAAAGAAAAATCTAAAAATATTTATTTTTAAGTGTTTGGGTGCCGAACCATTGATATTGTAGGGGAGAAGACTTTTCCTCCAAAGGTTTGATGATTAAGTTTCTGAAATGAACTGACAATAGATAAGACTAACAGAAGACAAGGCATACAAATGTATTATGTGCCTGAGGGCATCAAAGAAAAGAAAAGCGAATACCTCATAACCTAATAAAATTAAAAACTTAAATGCCTTCCTTATAGAGAAGAGGGGAGGGGGAATGTATGCCACAGAGAGAAAATTAACAGTTTTTTGGGAAAATAAATAGGTAATAGTTTTTGACAAAGATTGGGTCGTGATGCTCAACTCCAAACTCTACCCTTGTGATACAATTAATCTTCTCTGTTTGAGATTCCTGGGAGGGCGGAAACACTCAGGACAACTGAGGTTTTTGGAGGATCTTTCTTTAGTTAGCTAAAGGAAGTTCAAAGAAAGTCCCTTCCTGTACTTTGGAGGGAAAAAAACAGGTAAGGGACCTTCATTCTTCTTTAGTTTCAAGCACTCAGTATGTCAGAGCAGCATACTTAGGGGTATTGTTTTTTGAGTCCCAACAACATTTCTTTGCAAATGAATTATCTGATATATTTCTATTCTGGTATCCTACTTTTAAATACATATTTTCAATAAGTTATTTGCTTTCAAACACTTTATGGTACAATTGCATGATTAATTAAGATAATAAAATATTTCTCCAGGATATATATATTTGTTATTGTTGAGTTGGGGGAAATATATGTTTGCTGTTGTTGATATGGGGTCTCACTCTGTTGCCCAGGCTGGTTTTGAACTTCTTGCTTCAAGTGATTCTCCAGCCTTGGCCTGCCAAAGTGTTGGGATTGTGGGCATGATGTTTTTTGTAAGAAGCATTAGTAGAATTAAATTGAAAATGTAGTGAAAATTTGTCCCCTTTAATATGGATTAAATATTATCTTACTGTATATAGATAACCTCTTAGATTGTTTGGATTATGTTTAAAAAGTTACTAAAAGTAAATCATGATTTATTACATAAAAAAGTAGTATGATGTCAAAATAAAAATAACACAAACAACCACAAAACAGATTTTAATTCTGATTCAAATGTGCTTTTTAAATATATGGGGAGTAGGTATTTAGCAATTTTCAGCCTTCTGGAATAAAATATAATTTAATCACATGTTAGTCTTTTTCAGGTCCAGAAAATGTAAAATACTTGATCAATTGATTTTAATTTTAAGATTGGTTCTTTTAAGTGCTCAGGGTTTAAAACATTACTATCTACTGTGATAACATCAGGTCTTGCTATCACCTTGATATTGATTGTTTCAGTGGAAATGGGTAGAGCGTCCTGTAGGTTACTGAAAATAAGATAATAGCAAGGAACACCTGTCCTAAAAGGATACAGACAGTTGGAAATCCTCCCAGGGGTACACTCAACATTTTTATATCTTAAAAGCCTGCTTCCACTATGACCTCCCTAAGGGGTCCCAACATTTGTGCTGTTTTTGTGTGGGAATTGTATTCCATCTTTCTTTCTGATGATTCCACCCACTCTTTTTTTTTTTTTGAGATGGAGTTTTGCTCTTGTTATCCAGGCTGGAGTGCAATGGTGCGATCTTGGCTCACCACAACCTCCGCCTACTGGGTTCAGGCAATTCTCCTGCCTCAGCCTCCTGAGTAGCTGGGATTACAGGCACGCGCCACCATGCCCAGCTAATGTTTTGTATTTTTAGCAGAGACGGGGTTTCACCATGTTGACCAGGATGGTCTCGATCTCTTGACCTCGTGATCCACCCGCCTCAGCCTCCCAAAGTGCTGGGATTACAGGCTTGAGCCACCGCGCCCGGCGATTCCACCCACTCCTTTGGCCACTTCAAATGGAGGTGCAGGATATTGCTAAAGTGAGTATGCTCAATGTTTGGTACAGCATAAGTTTCCAGGAGCATGGAGAATTTAAGCAAAATTTTAAGATTCATTTTTAGTACTGCTAAAGTCACATTTAGATCATGAAAATCTTCTTTCTTTATTTCTTTTCTCCCTTCTTTCTATTATTTTCTCTGACTCACCTCCACCTCATTCCACTTTTCCTCTTTAAATTCTTTGAAATTATTTGGTAAGGTAGTTGGTACATGAAATATATATTTTACAATAAAATGATATTATAAATGGTGGTTAAATTCCATACTAGTTTATAAGCATGGGTTATTTTCCAATGTTTTTTTAAAGCAACACTTATTAAGTTAGACTTGAGGCCGGGCGCGGTGGCTCAAGCCTGTAATCCCAGCACTTTGGGAGGCCGAGGCGGGTGGATCACAAGGTTGACAGATCGAGACCAACCTGGTCAACAGGGTGAAACCCCGTCTCTACTAAAAATACAAAAAATTAGCTGGGCATGGTGGTGCGTGCCTATAATCCCAGCTACTCAGGAGGCTGAGGCAGGAGAATTGCCTGAATCCAGGAGGCGGAGGTTGCGGTGAGCCGAGATCGCGCCATTGCACTCCAGCCTGGGTAACAAGAGCGAAACTCCGTCTCAAAAAAAAAAAAAAAAAAACAAAAAAAAAGTTAGACTTGAAAATTAAATATATGCAAATATGTATATCCCAGTTACTGGCTAGCTGATAAAATTATAGGTATATGGACATCCTAGAAAGTGCTAGTTTCATGGGACAGTAAATATTTTTGTCAAATATGAGTAAACTGTCTTAAGCAAACGTAAGAAAAATTGAGGAAAATGGTACAAATAGTAAAAGTAAGATTTTTAGGATAAATGACACATTACTACAAAGTGTTTAAAGTCTTCAGAATTTATGCATGCCTATGTAACTATAATCTCCTTAGTAGTGCTGCTGAAATATTATATTATACAACATTATAAGCCTGGTAATTAAACTAAACAGAAAACATTTAATTAAAAATAGAAAGTTTTCCAAAAAATTTCATTTTTATCATATATTTCCTTCATTGGCTTTTTAAATTTGTTAAATTAACTTTTCACCATTTAACTTGATTTACAAAAAAAAAAAAAATCCATTAGCAAAATTTTACCAATAGTCTTTCATCAAAGAAATAGAAAAAACAAGAAGAGTAATTTATTAAGTAAATTATTTCCATCATTAATTAAGTGAGAGATAATTTTTTAAAATTCTACCAGGCTAGTGATTTTCTCCTACTCCATTTGTGGTAACTGTCATATTACTAGAATCTTTTCATGTATTCTGGGCTAGAGATACAGAGATATTATGTGGTGATCTGGTCACCACATAATTTTAAAATTTTAGCACGTAAGTTGAAGATACTTAACTTTTTCTACAACTGAACTTCATTTTTATTCTGAGCAAATATTTTCCTGGAGTGTCAGAAAACTATTCCATGATTAGGATGTCTCTTTTTTTCTGCTGAATCTAAGTTCTTGAAGGCTTCTACAAGTGTCTAGTGCTAGTGGTGGGTGGTTTTATCTTACTGTCCCATCTGGCAGAGATACATCTTCAGTCATACCCAACTTGTTGAGTTATTGGCCACTGGCACAAGCAAGTTACCTGACAAAGTCCCAATCTCCTGTTTGGAAAGCCCTTGCCCACCCATCACTTCTCTCTGCTACTTTTCTGTACTCTTGGGCACATGGGAATTATTCAGCTGTTTTTGCCCAGATTGAATCATGATACACTCTTACAGTTGATTATGAGCTTGTTTATCCTGCAGGGCCATGCTTCTATTTCTAATCTGCAAATTATCTACATTCTTCTACCTAGGAAAAGACCCACAGATTCTTGGAAGTTCTTGGGGCAGCCACAGTGTAGAGTCCATTTATCAGGATCCAGTATCTAGGTTCCAGTGAATAATACTTTTTCTCTTCTCCCAGTCCAGGGGAATCTTGGGTGTGTTTGCATGATGTAGTATGAGAGGGTTATAGGCTGATTTTTTCACTTGCAGATTTCTTCCAAATCTATTTTTCTTTCCCAAGTTTTGAGTTTCTCATGCCTCAGGTTTTTGAAACTGCAGCAAACAACAATCTAAGTGGCTGAATGACAGGAGCAGAAATAAGAAAGGGCCAAAAGGTGACAGAATATGTGAGTGGAGACCAATGTTAGTTACTTCAAAAACTATCCCACTATTTATCATTAATTCATTTCCCTTACTAACCATATATATTCAGTCATATTCCTATGGATAGAAACACTAGTATTTCTTGGATTCATTCTGTCCATTGGAAGGCAGATTTAGGAAAACCCTCAGTGGTTTCACATTTTCTACAGAATAAACTCTAAAGTTTTCAGGGCAGCATTCAAATTTCTCCAAAATTAGATTCCAAATTAGAATCTTTTTTTCAGCTTTTCCTACATCCTACCCACCTGACACTTTATACTCTTATTTTGAAAAACGTCATTCATGTATTTGTATATTTGCTTATGCTAATTTCTTTACCTATAATTATTTGTTGCCTTTTAAAAGACTACTTAGTATCTACCATGCAAGGCCCAGGCCAAATGCTGCCTCATTCAAGAAGCCTTCTTAGGTTTCTCAGTACAAAAACTGCCTATTTTTTCTTCAAGTTTCCTAGCTTTTTTGTGTGGGTGGGTGGTGAGGGTGGATTCTGTCTTGATTAAAACTATTTATTTTGGCCGGGCGCGGTGGCTCAAGCCTGTAATCTCAGCACTTTGGGAGGCCGAGGCGGGTGGATCACGAGGTCGAGAGATCGAGACCATCCTGGTCAACATGGTGAAACCCCGTCTCTACTAAAAATACAAAAAATTAGCTGGGCATGGTGGCGCATGCCTGTAATCCCAGCTACTCAGGAGGCTGAGGCAGGAGAATTGCCTGAACCCAGGAGGCGGAGGTTGCAGTGAGCCGAGATCGCGCCATTGCACTCCAGCCTGGGTAACAAGAGTGAAACTGCGTCTCAAAAAAAAAAAAAACAACTATTTATTTAAATGTTCAATATCTTACTAGATTTGAACACCTTGAAGGTAATAATTGTGTATCATTCTAACATTTAGCAAGATTTCTATTTTTCTGTTAATTGTACATTGTTCTTTCAAATGCTCTAAAATGGCCAAAATAGCAGTGACTCCTATTTTTAACTTGCCTTTCTTTTTTTTGGCCATAGGCACACATGCTGTGTCCACAATAGGAAGGTGTAGGGCTGTGTGTTTTCGAGTGGTTTCTCTGGAGATTCCACAGAACGTGAAAACCTCCCTTACTGATCTAGCTCTTTAATCTGTGGTAACCTCAATATGTCATACCACATTTTTTGGAAAGAATCTGAAGTACAGGAGCTATTCCTGAAATTTAAATGTATACCTTTTAGTTTCCAAAATCACCAATTTTACTGTCAGTCTTGGTTGCTCATAATCCTGTTGTCTTCAGCAGAGCTGCCAACTCTTGTCAGTTTCTGAAATACTGTTTATGTAGGAGCAATTGATTTTGTAGGGAGATGAAAAGCAGATTGCAAAAGTGGTCTATTGCCAACTTTTAGAATGTATGTGTTCCTTTCAGAACACTTCCATATAACTACTGAATTATTATATTGATTAGCAAAGTGCTTCTCAAATAATTGATTCATAAAACAGCCTATGCTTGAAATACCTAGCAATATATCCTTATTTGCATTTATAAAGATATTATGTTCTTCAAAATACTGGACCTACGGAGGATGAATTGTAACAGTGCTTCAGTGTGACCTTTCGGTTTGGGAACTCATATGTGCTATGTGGAATTTTTGTGGAGAACCATATGTTTAATCTATTTTCTCATTTAAAACAGTTTATAATTTGTTTCAAAACAACGTTTTACATTTGCTGCTTTTTAAAAAATTACTTGTGGGAATGCAAGTAAGGCAAAGTAGCTCTTTTATTTAGTGCTTTTATTCCTAGAAAAGGCAAACAATTATAAATATTTCTACTTAGACCATGTTAAGTGTTGTAGAGAAGAAAACATATTTATTTATTTATTTATTTTTATTTTTTTTATTTTTATTTATTTATTTTTTTTGAGACGGAGTTTCGCTCTTGTTACCCAGGCTGGAGTGCAATGGCGCGATCTCGGCTCACCGCAACCTCCGCCTCCTGGGTTCAGGCAATTCTCCTGCCTCAGCCTCCTGAGTAGCTGGGATTATAGGCACGCGCCACCATGCCCAGCTAATTTTTTGTATTTTTAGTAGAGACGGGGTTTCCCCATGTTGACCAGGTTGGTCTCGATCTCTCGACCTCGTGATCCACCCGCCTCGGCCTCCCAAAGTGCTGGGATTACAGGCTTGAGCCACCGCGCCCGGCCTACATGCTTTTTAATCCTGTTGGATTTCTGTGATTAGGACTTCTATAATTACATTGAATAGGAGTGTTACATTAGTAGGTATTCTTGTCTCATTTTTATTCTAATGAATACATGCAACTATTGCCTTTTTAGTATAATGTTGGCTGAGAATTTTTCATGTCTCTTGTTATTTTGAGGTATGTTTTGCCAATACTTCCTTTGGTGAGAATCTAATTGTGAATGAATACTGAATTCCCTAAGTGCATTTTCTGCATCTATTGTGTTAACTGTTTAAATTTTTGCTTTATCTTTACATGGTTAATTGCAGTTATTGACTTGCATATGATAAAACATCTTCGCATACGTGAAATAAAGCTCATATGACTGTGACAAAACCTTTTAATTTGCTTATGAACTCAGCTTGCTAGTGTTTCACGGAGTTTGTTTCAAGGTTTACCAAAAATATTGGCCTGTAGTTTCCTTTCTTTGTTTTACCTTCCCTAGATTTTAGTATCAAGATAATATTGATTTTTTAAAATGAGTTAAGGTGTAATCCCATATTGAGTATTTGGAGTACATTCAGGAGTAGTAGGAGCTCATCTTTGTATATTTGGTAACATTTGTCTGCGATTTTATATAATTCAGAGCTTTTATGGTTGGTAGGTTTTTTATTACTAATTCAGTTTCATCATTTATTTTATACGTTTTTGTCCAGTGCAAGACTTCTGTTTCTTACTGGTTCAGTTTTGGAAAGTTGTGAGCAACTGTTTCAGTTTTCCTCTAGTACAAAAGGTGTACAATAAGATCTAATACAAAGTACTAGAGCCCTCTTTATGTTTGTGATGGTCACCTTCAAAATAAATACTCTTAATCACTTTAAAGGCTTATGTTTTCTTAGGCATGCACCACCACGCCCGGCTAATTTTGTATTTTTTTTTTTTTTAGTAGAGACAGGGTCTCAAGCTCCTGACCTCAGGGCACCTGGCTGCCTAGGGCTCCCAAAGTGCTGGGATTATAGGTGTGAGCCACCGCACCCGGCTCAAAGACCTTTTGACAGTAATTGCACTTATCATGTTTTTACTAAGTATGAACTCTCTGCTGATGCATAAGATGTGAGCCAATATGGCCAGGCGCGGTGGCTCAAGCCTGTAATCCCAGCACTTTGGGAGGCCGAGGCAGGTGGCTCACGAGGTCAAGAGATCGAGACCATCCTGGTCAACATGGTGAAACCCCATCTCTACTAAAAATACAAAAAATTAGCTGGGCATGGTGGCACCTACCTGTAATCCCAACTACTCAGGAGGCTGAGGCAGGAGAATTGCCTGAACCCTGGAGGTGGAGGTTGCGGTGAGCCGAGATTGCGCCATTGCTCTCCAGCCTGGCTAACAAGAGGGAAAATCCTTATAAAAAAAAAAAAAAACCAACAACTTTGAGATATTCTTCATATTTGTAGGGTTTCCCTCTAGCATGAATTATCTTATGTGTAGTCAGGGTTGAGAAGTGATTAAAAGCTTTATCACATTCTTCCTATTTATAGGATTTCTCTCTGGTATGAATTTTCTTATGTTCCTTAAGGGTTGAGGACTGCTTAAAGCCTTTACCACATTCTTCACATTTGTAGGGTCTCTCTCCAGTGTGAATTCTCCTATGTGTAGTAAGATTTGAGAATAAACTAAAGGCTTTATCACATTCTTCACATTTGTAGGGTTTTTCTCCAGTATGAATTCTGTTATGTCTCGTAAGATGTGAGTACCAATTAAAAGCTTTGCCACATTCTTCACAGTTGTAAGGTTTCTCTCCAGGATGAATTTTCTTATGTTTTGTGAAGTGTGAGGACTGGCTAAAAGCTTTGCCACATTCCTCACATTTGTAGGTTTTCTCTCCAGTATGAATTATCTTATGTTTAGTAAGGGTTGAAAGTACAGTAAAGGCTTTGCCACATTCTTCACATTTGTAGGGTTTCTCTCCAGTATGAATTCTCCTATGTCTACTAAGATATGAGGACAGGGTAAAAGCTTTACCACATTCTTCACATTTGTAGGGTTTCTCTCTGGTATGAATTTTCTTATGTCTACTAAGGTGTGAGTAACAATTAAAAGCTTTGCCACATTCCTCACATTTGTAGGGTCTCTGTCCAGTATGAATTCTCTTATGTGTTGTAAGGGTTGAGCAAACGCTAAAGGCTTTGCCACATTCTTCACATTTGTAGGGTTTCTCTCCAGTATGAATTCTCTTATGTGTAGTAAGGTGTGAGTACCAGTGAAAATCTTTGCCACATTCCTCACATTTGTACGGTCTCTGTCCAATATGAATTTTCTTGTGTGTGGTAAGGGTTGAAAACATACTGAAGGCTCTGCCACATTCTTTACATTTGTAGAGTTTTCCTCCAGCATGAACTCTCTGATGTCTAGTAAGGGTTGAGAATACATTAAAGGCTTTGCCACATTCTTGACAATTGTAGGGTTTCTCTCCACTATGAATTTTCTTATGTTTAGTAAGGTGTGAGGACCATTTAAAATCTCTGCCACATTCTTCACATCTGTATTGTTTCTTTCGAGCATAAATTATCTTATGCCTACTAAGAGTTGAGGACTGGTTAAAAGCTTTTCCACATTCTTTATATTTGTAGGATTTCTCTCCAGTATGAACACTCCTGTGTCTAGTAAGGGTTGAGAACCAGTAAAAGACTTTACCACATTCTTCACATTGGTAAGAATTCTCTCTAATATGAGTTCTTTTATGTTGACTTCGATGTAAAAGCATGCAAAATGATTTGCCACATTTTTTAAATTTGAAAGGTTTCTTTGCAGTATGTCTTGTCTTACATCTACCTGAATTTAACAATTTATGAATGACTTTCCCATATGTATCACATTGAAATATTTTGCTCTCGTTACTTGTCAAACATTGGTTTAGTTCATTATAACCTTCTTTGCGCACAGTAGACTCATTCACACTTTTATAGCCTTTTCTTATCTGTAAATCCTTATGTCCACATTTTACATATTCTCTCAGTATCACTTTTTGAAAAGAATCTTTTATGCCTGGCCTTTGCCCAAGGTCTTGGCCAAAATGAGAACACAGAACTGAAAGAAATAAAAATAACAAATTACTCCACTTGCTAGTGTCAGATAAATATAGATTACAAATATAACCTGTAACATTATACAAACTCTATAAACAAGATGACATAGCAAAATACCAAAGGATCTAATTTTTGTAGACATATATATGTAACAAAAACATATTAACCAAAATACAACCCTGTCTCTACTAAAAAAATACAAAAATTAGCTGGGCATGGTGGCGCGTGCCTGTAGTCCCAGCTACTCAGGAGGCTGAGGCAGTAGAATTGCTTGAATCAGGGAGGCGGAGGTTGCAGTGAGCCGAGATTGTGCCAATGCACTCCAGCCTGGCGCCTGGTGCGAGAGCGAGACTCTGTCTCAAAAAAAACAAAAACGAAAACAAAAAAAATCCAATCAAGAGACATACTTTATTTTTATTTTTTTATTTTATTTTATTTTATTTTTATTTTTTGAGACAGAGTTTTGCTCTTGTTACCCAGGCTGGAGTGCAATGGCGCGATCTCCGCTCACTGCAACCTCTGCCTCCTGGGCTCAGGCAATTCTCCTGCCTCAGCCTCCTAAGTAGCTGGGATTACAGGCACGCGCCACCACGCCCAGCTAGTTTTTTTGTATTTTTAGTAGAGACGGGGTTTCACCACGTTGACCAGGATGGTCTCGATCTTTCAACCTCGTGATCCACACATCTCGGCCTCCCAAAGTGTTGGGATTACAGGCTTGAGCCACCGCGCCCGGCTATTTTATTTTTTTGAGACGGAGTTTCACTCTTGTTACCCAGGCTGGAGTGCAATGGCGTGATGGCTCACCGCAACCTCCGCCTCCCGGGTTCAGGCAATTCTTCTGCATCAGCCTCCTGAGTGGCTGGGATTACAGGCACACTCCAACATGCCCAGCTAATTTTTTGTATTTTTAGTAGAGACGGGGTTTCACCATGTTGACCAGGATGGTCTCGATCTCTCGACCTCGTGATCCACCTGCCTCGGCCTCCCAAAGTGCTGGGATTACAGGCTTGAGCCACCGCGCCTGGCCTTAATTTTTTGTATTTTTAGTAGAGACGGGGTTTCACCACATTGACCAAGATGGTCTCGATCTCTTGACCTCACGATCCACCCACCTCGGCCTCCCAAAGTGCTGGGATTACAGGTGTGAGCCACTGCGCCCGGCCTATTTTTATTATTATTTTTTTAAAATTCAGTCTCCGTAGAGACTGCCAAAAATTGCCAACGCCAACTATATTTCAAGTCATCATGGCGGGGTATTGTGAAAAGTTTTCAATCAGCAATAATTGCGTCTCGGCAACCTCTGGCTCCTGGGTTCAGGCAATTCTCCTGCCTCAGCCTCCTTAGTAGCTGGGATTACAGGCACGCGCCACCATGCCCAGCTAATTTTTTGTATTTCTAGTAGAGACGGGGTTTCACCATGTTGACCAGGATGGTCTCGATCTCTTGACCTTGTGATCCACCCGCCTCAGCCTCCCAAAGTGCTGGGATTACAGGCTTCAGCCACTGTGCCCGGCAAGCTTATTTTTATTTTTACAGAGACGGGGTTTCACAATGTTGGTCAGGCTACTCTCAAACTCCCGACCTCAGGTGATCTGCCTGCCTTAGCTTCCTAAAGTGCTGGGATTACAGGCATGAGCCACCGTGCCTGGCTTAAGAGACATACTTTTTTTTTGTTTTGTTTTGAGACGAAGTCTCACTGTCACCCAGGCTGCAATCCCAGCTCACTGCAACATCCGTTTCCTGGGACGTTGCCCTCAGTCTCACGAATAGGTAGGACTACAGGTGTGCATCACCGTACTCAGCTAATTTCTGTATTTTTTTTTTTTTAAAGAGATGGGGGTTTCACCATGTTAGTCAGGCTGGCCTTGAACTCCTGACCTTGTGATCTGCCCGCCTCGGCCTCCCAAAGTGCTGGGATTTACAGGTGTAAGCTACCGCTCCCAGCCCTGAAGAGAAACAATTTCAATAAAGTAATGTATTTAAAATTGTTAAAAAACAAGATTTAATTTGCCTTTCTACAAGGGTCAGCTGACACCTAGCAATTAAAAAAAAAAAGGTGGCAAGATGGATTCAGACATTTAGATTTGCTTGCAATATTGCATGCAAATATTAACCAAATGAGGCAGAAGAGGTCAAAATAGCATTACAGAAGCTACATCTTAAGTCAAAAACAGTCATATTTTATATAAAGTACTTTAAATCAAAACTGCAGAGACAAAGAACATTAAACAATAATAGATTTATTTACTGGGAACCTATCACAAATTTGTGTGTGTGTGTGTGTATGTATGTATGTACGTGTATGTCACACTAAGGTTTGAAATCTGTAAAGCAAATATTGGCAGATTGAAAGAAATATCTAGAAAAAAATACAGTAGGACATTCTAATATCCCACTTTCTACAATAAAAGTAAAACAAGACAATATTAATAAGTGAAGAGAGGAACTGAAGGCAGTATAATACAATTGTTTCTAACAGAGAAATAGAGAAGACTCCTCAACAATATCAGGAAACACATTCTTCTCAAGAGCTTGTACAACATTCTCTTTGATAGACCACCCGTTAGGCCAAAAAAGGAGTCTTAAAATTTTGATGAAATTGGCATTTTATGGATTATATTCTATGACCAAAATGGAATAGAAGTGTAAAATAGAAAAAAAGGTCGGACGCAGCGGATCATGCCTGCGGATCTAGCACTTTGGGAGGCTCAGGCAGGCTGATCACCTGAGGTCGGAAGTTCAAGAACAGCCTGACCAACATGGAGAAACTGCACCTCTACTAAATATACACAATTAGCCAGGCATGATGGTGCATGCCTGTAGCCCCAGCTACTTCAGAGGCTGAGTCAGGAGAATTGCTTGAACCTGAGAGGTGGAGGTTGCAGTGAGCCGAAATCTTTCCATTGCCCTCCAGCCTGGGTAACAAGAGCGAAACCTTGTCCCCCGACACCAAAATGAATAAATAAATTAATAAAAAATGTACCAATACAAATTAAACAACACACTCATCAGCATGCCGCTGTTCAAAGGTTGAAATAGTTTGGAGGTGTTCATACTGCTCAATGTAATCTACAGATTTAATGCAAAGTTTTTCAAAACTTCTCATCCCATTTTTGAGGAAATACAAATAGTAACCTCAAAAGTATATGGTATCTCAAGAGACAAGGAAGTACCCAACAGTCTTCAAAAGAAGAAACAATGTTAAAGGCATTACAGTTTCTGATTTCAAAACACATTACAGGCCAAGGATAGTGGCGCATGCCTGTAATCCCAGCATTTTGGGAGGCTAAGATGGGCAGATCACCTGAGGTCAGAAGTTCAAGACCAGCCTGGCTAACATGTTGAAACCCCATCTTTACTAAAAATTCAAAAAAGTTAGTTGGGTGTAGTGGTGAGTACCTGTAATCACAGCTACCTGGGAGGATGAGGCACGAAAATTGCTTGAACCCAGTAGACGGAGGTTGCATTGAGCTGAGATGGTACCACGGCACTCCAGCCTGCGCAACACAGCGAGACTCCCATCTCAAAAAAAAAAAACAAACAACAACAACAAAAAAAACCATATTACAAAGTTACAGAGTTAAAACAACTTCAGGAGGCCTGGCGCGATGGCTCACGCCCCTAATCCCAACCTTTTGGGAAGCCAAACCAGGCAGATCAGCTGAGGTCAGGAGTTTGAGACCAGCCTTGCCAACACAGTGAAACTCCATCTCTACTAAAAATACAAACAAATTAACCGGGTATGGTGGCGTGTGCCTGCAATCCCAGCTACTAGGGAGGCTGAAAGAGAATCGCTTGAACCCGGGAGGGGGAGGCTGCAGTGAGCCAAGATGGAGCCACTGAGCTCCACCTCTGGGCAAGAGAGCAGGACTGTGTCTCAAAAAAAAATAAAATAAAATAAAGGTGGAAATTTTAGGGCTGGCGTGGTGGCTCATGCCTGTAATCCAAGCACTTTGGAGGCTAAGGTGGGCTGATCACCTGAGGTCGGGAGTTAAAGACCAGCCTGACCAACATGGTGAAACCCTGTCTTTAAAACAAAAAAAAACAATTTTGGGGTAAAGCACAATGGCTTAAGCCTGTAATTCCAGCACTTTCGCAGCTGAAGTGAAGGATCACCCTGAGGTCAGGAGTTTGAAACCAGACTGGTCAACATGGCGAAACCCAATCTCTACTAAATATACAAAAATTAGCAGGGCATGATGCCAGGCACCTGTAATCCCAGCTACTCAGGAGGCTGAGGAAGGAGAATCACTTGAACCTGTAAGTTGGAGGTTGCAGTTATCTGCGATCATGCCATTCCACTCCAGCCTGGGGGACAAGAATAAAACGCCATCTCAAAAAAAAGAAAAAGAAAAAAATAGACATTAAAAAAAATTGGTATGAGTATAATCATTATAAAGTGAACTGATAAAAAAGGCAGCACAAGCCGGGCGCGGTGGCTCAAGCCTGTAATCCCAGCACTTTGGGAGGCTGAGGCGGGTGGATCACGAGGTCGAGAGATCGAGACCATCCTGGTCAACATGGTGAAACCCCGTCTCTACTAAAAGTGCAAAAAATTAGCTGGGCATGGTGGCACGTGCCTGTAATCCCAGCTACTCAGGAGGCTGAGGCAGGAGAATTGCCTGAGCCCAGGAGGCGGAGGTTGCGGTGAGCCGAGATCGCGCCATTGCACTCCAGCCTGGGTAACAAGAGCGAAACTCCGTCTCAAAAAAAAAAAAAAAAAAAAAAGGCAGCACATATATAAACTTTCACATTTGCAGCATTATTACTGAAAGCCAATAGTTGAAGCAATTCAAATTTCTGTCAAATTATTCAGTAGATATAATTTGAAATATAAAAATATTGTATTATCACATGGAATTTTATAAGCAGGAAATATTCTAACAACTATCAAGATACATTTGACATTATGCAAAATGAAATGAGTGAGCCACAAATATATGGCCTGAAATATATAAAGCAGTTACACTCCTAGAAAAAGAAAGAGAGTGGTCTCGGGAAAATTTCAGAAAATTAGAAAAATTGGTTGTTGTTTAATGTGTATTGAGATTTAGCTTTGCAAGACCAAAACATTCTAGAGATATGTTGCATAGCATTGTCAATACAATATGACTAAACAGAATATTTAAAAATATTTGGTAATAAATTTTGCTATTGGTTTTTTACAAGTAAAAACAATACCTAAAAATATACAGAGTTACAATAATTTAATATTATTTTCAAATCCCAAAGTGTTTCTTCCATACAAAATAATATAGATTCACAATAGACACTGAAATTAGGAGAATTTTGGGGCCCGCTCACCTAGAAAAGATTGAATAAACCATTTACGACAAACCTGCACAACAAATATACAAGTTATGTTAAAAAACAGGAATCATATTTATAGAGGGAAAGAAACACAGAGGTAATGATATTGGCAGTAGACATATAGCTGATTCATAGTTGATTTTGTTCAACACTGTCTTATACTGTACAGAGTTAAAACACTGTCATACATAATTATAAACCAAAACAACAAAACTGAGTTAACTGCTGAGGTGGCATACCCTGAAGTACATAACACAAAAATATTATACTGCAAAACAAAAATAAAATACAGAATGTTAAAACTTATTGGAAACCATCAAGTAGATCAATATATTCATGAAAAAAATCTTAGAAGCAGAATACAGAGAAAAAGTAATACACAGGTAAATTTAAGACAAAAGAGACTGAGAACTTCCCAGTTTGATGTAATTTAAAAAATCCTAACCAATAATACTTAATTCTAAATTATTTTACTTCAAAAACAAGATAAAACTAAGGGTTTTCCAGACTAGAAGCTCAGGATATTTATTACAACTAGTACAGTCTTATTTTAAATAACATTAGTTGGTGCCTACACACCATGCCTCATGCCTGTAATTCTACAGTATTAGGAAGCCGAGATAGTTGGATCACTTGAGACAAAGAGTTCAAGAACAGCCTGAGAAACAGAGACTCTGCATATAAACAGAGAAATGCTCAAACAGTCGATTAAGTTGATGCTGGACAACATCATAAAACCATATATGAATATAAAGCTCTCTATTAAATATAAATATACAGACATATATAGAATGTTTTACTATCCTCATAAAACCCTTAAAATTCTTCTATAGATATAAAAAACAACATATAAATCTGCATAAATCTCTTAATAGGTACATAATTTCTAATATCTATAACAAACTGGAAAATATAGCAGTATAGGTTTTGTATTTAATTGAAGTTATTATGAAATTAAAATATATTGTTTTAACTTTAAGATGTTTTATGAGCCAGGCGCGGTGGCTCAAGCCTGTAATCCCAGCACTTTGGGAGGCTGAGGCGGGTGGATCATGAGGTTGAGAGATCGAGACCATCCCGGTCAACATGGTGAAACCCCGTCTCTACTAAAAATACAAAAAATTAGCTGGGCATGGTGGTGCGTGCCTGTAATCCCAGCTACTCAGGAGGCTGAGGCAGGAGAATTGCCTGAACCCAGGAGGCAGAGGTTGCGGTGAGCCGAGATCGTGCCATTGCACTCCAGCCTGGGTAACGAGCGAAACTCCGTCTCAAAAAAAAATAAAAATAAATAAAGTAAAACAACAAATGAGAAAAAATATGTCTGCAGGAAACACATGAAACAGTTAACAATGAGGTGGTTTCTGCAGATCAGCAGACTTGGTCTTTCCCCCGCTGGTTCTGAGCAACGGAGCAGTACAGATATATGGAATTGCCCCCTGTGCAGCATTCACACTCCACCAACGGGCAGCCAGAGAGCGTTTGTTAACTGGTTCCCAAATCTTGTGCATCCCGACTTCATGAGACCACCCCACCCAACAGGCACTGTTAGACAATTTATAAAACAGAGGTTCCCACTGTCATCAGGTGGTGCCCCTCTGGGATTAAAATCTCAGAGAAAGGGGCAAGGAGTCATCTCTGCTGTTCTGCAGCCTCTACTGGTGACACCTCCAGGTGTGAGAGAAACCCGGGCAGAGTCGTCTCAAGTAGATTCCCAGCAAATCACAGCAGCCCGACTGAAAAAAAAAAAAAAAAAGCCTGGCAAGGCGCGGTGGCACGTTGCCTGTAGTCTCAGCTACTCGCTTGAGCCCAGCAGTTCTGGGCTGTAGTGTGCTATGACCATCCAGTGTCCCCACTAAGTTCGACATCAATATGGTGACTTCCCGGGAGCGAGGGTCCACCGGGTTGACTAAGGAGGGGTAAACCAGCACAGGTCGGAAACAGAGCAGGTCAAAACTCCCGTGCTCATCGGGTAGTGGGACTGCGCCTGTGAATAGCCACTGCACTCCAGCCTGGGCAACATAGGAAGACCCCCATCTCTTAAAAAAAAGTCTGTCTCGCCTGTAATCCCAGCACTTTAGGAGACCAAGGCAGACAGATCGCCTGCGGTCAGGAGTTCAAGACCAGCCTGCCCAACGTAGTGAACCCATGTCTCTACTAAAAATACCAAAAATTACCCAGATGTAGTGGCAGGCACCTGTGATCCCAGCTACTCAGGAGGCTGAGACAGAAGAATCGCTTGAACTCAGGAGGCAGAGGTTGCAGTGGGCAGAGATTGTGCCTGGCGGACACAGGGAGACACAATTTCAAAAATAAGTATTTTTTTTTTTTTTGGATGAAGTCTTGCCCTGTCGCTCAGACTGAAGTGCAATGGAGTGATCTCAGGTCATCACAATCTCTGCTTCCTGGGTTCAAGCTATTGTCCTGCCTCAGCCTCTTGAGCAGATGGGATTACAGGTACATGCCACCACACCTGGCTAAGTTGTTTTTTTTTTTTTTAAGACGGAGTTTCCCTCTTGTTACCCAGGCTGGAGTGCAATGGCGCGATCTCGGCTCACTGCAACCTCCGCCTCCTGGGTTCAGGCAATTCTCCTGCCTCAGCCTCCTGAGTAGCTCGGATTACAGGCATGTGCCACCATGCCCAGCTACTTTTTTGTGTTTTGAGTAGAGACGGGGTTCCACCATATTGACCAGGATGGTCTCAATCTCTTGACCTCGTGATCCACCCGCCTCTGCCTCCCAAAGTGCTGGGATTACAGGCTTGAGCCACTGTGCCTGGCCTGCCCCGACTCTGTCTCAAAAAAAAAAAAAAAAAAAAAAAGAAATTAGTCTGGGCAACATAGAAAAACTCTGAGAAAAGAAAGAAAGGGAGACCAAGGCAGGGCCTCTTGGTGGGTGGCCCATGTCGAAGCGGGGCAGTGTACTTCTACAGTGACCTGTAGAAGCCTCTGGTATCCAGTGAAAGCCATATTCATTTACATTCTAATATAAGGGCCATTTTACATGGACCTAACTGAAGAAACCTATCCTAGTGTCTGCTCCATAGATAAAAGTCATTAGGATATTTAATCTGTCAAAAAAAAATTTTTTTTGAAAATTAAAACTATGTAAGCCCCTTGTAATAAGCCCCTGTATCCCCAATAAGGCTGGGCACAGTAGAAGCTTACGCTTATAATCCCAGCATTTTGAAAGGCCAAGGATCACAAGGTCAGAAGTTTGAGAACAGCCTGACCAACATGGTAAAACCCCATCTCTACTAAAAATACAAAAATTAGCTGGAAATGGTGGCACATGCCTGCAATCCCAGCTACTCAGGAGGCTGATAATCACTTGAACCTGGGACGAGGAGGTTGCAGTGAGCCGAGATCATGCCATTGCACTCCAGCCGGGGCAACAGATTGAGACTCTATCCTCACCCCTGAAAAAAAAGGCCAACTAAATGTGGACCCTAGTGCAGACCCAGAAGCCTTATGACTAAGTTACAACCACACCCCACTACAAACCCAGAGGGCAATTCAGAACCCTGGGAAGCCAACAAGAGAAGATTTTTTTTTTTTTTTTTTTTGAGATGGAGTTTCGCTCTTGTTACCCAGGCTGGAGTGCAATGGCACGATCTCGGCTCACCGCAACCTCCGCCTCCTGGGCTCAGGCAATTCTCCTGCCTCAGCCTCCTGAGTAGCTGGGATTACAGGCATGCGCCACCATGCCCAGCTAGTTTTTTGTATTTTTAGTAGAGACGGGGTTTCACCATGTTGACCAGGATGGTCTCGATCTCTTGACCTCGTGATCCACCCGCCTCGGCCTCCCAAAGTGCTGGGATTACAAAGAGAAGATTTTTTTATTTCCCCAAATCAGTTTTTGAAAACTTGAGTAGTTGTTTGCTGTTTTAAATTCACAGACACCAATATAAAACTATACTGTGCCCATTGTCAATGTTTCTGTTTTAACATTAACACTGGAAATATATTGCAGAATAATGAATAAAAAATATTTTTGGGGGGTGGGGGGGTGCCAAAATAAAAATTAAAAAAAAAATTTTTTTAAAAGCCATTGAAAGTGAAGACAAATAAGTAAAATGTTGCTGTTTCTAGAACAGTCTTATACATAAAAGACCAGACAGTACATTGAAATTTGGTTAAACTAATAAATACACTCAGTATTTACTATATTAACAAAATATATTATCTATATGAACAAAATATAAAATTACCACAAAAGTATGTTATTGCCTTATACACTTTAAACAAGCTATCAAATATAAAGTTTTTTCTTTTTTTTTGAGACAGAGTCTTGCTCTGTGACTCAGGCTAGAATACAACGGTGCGATCTAGGCTCACGGGAAACTCTGTCTCCCAGGTTCAAGCAATTCTCCTGCTTCAGACTGTGGAGTAGCTGGGATTACAGATGCAGGCCACCATACCTGGCTAAATTTTTATATTTTCAGTAGAGACCATATAGGCCAGACTGGTCTTGAACTCCTGAACTGAAGTGATCTGCAGGTAGATCTTTTGACCTCCAAAAGTGCTGAAATTACAGGCCTGAGCCACCATGCCAGGTAAGAGAACAATCTTTTTAAAAATATAATTAAATAATGAATTTCTAATAATTTAACCAGAGGCAAAAAAATGTTTACAATGAAATATATAAATCAATAAAAGAGGCTGGGTGTGGTGGCTCACCCCTGTAATCAAAATTTACAAGAAACTACAATAAACCTCAAATAGCCAAAGCAATCCTGAGGAAAAAGAACAAAGCCCAGGGATATCATATTTTACAATTTCAAACTATATTTCAAGAATATAGTAATAAAAACAGGATGGAATGTGCAGAAAATTAACATAAAAACCAAAAGAGGCCAGGCATGGTGGCTCATGACTGTAATCCCAGCAATTTGAGAAGTCAAGGTGGATGGATCATCTGAGGTCAGGAGTTCGAGACCGACCAACATGGAGAAAGCCTATCTCTACTAAAAATACAACATTAGCCGGGCGTTGGGGCACATGCCTGTAATCCCAGCTACCTGGAAGTCTGAGGCAGAAGAATCATTTGAACTCAGGAGGCAGAGGTTGCAGTGAGCTAAGATCACACCACTGCACTCCAGCCTGGGTGACAGAGCGAGACTCTCTCCAAAAAAACAAAACAAAACAGAACAACAACAACAACAAAATAGAACAGAGACCACTACTCATACATTTTAGATATGATGCAAAAAGAGAACTAAAAAAAATAGTTTAACATAAAGTTTCTCAAAATAATGCAGGTATCTGTGTGTCCCCCAAAACAATGAAAAAGCAGTCAGATTATGCAGTCTCATAAATTATGAAGAGGACTCTGGCTCTCACTGTAAACTTGAAGGAAGATCAATGAAGGGAAAGTAGAATCCTTAGAGAATTTAAAAGCCGAAGAGAGAAGATGGGCCTATGTAAGAACAACAAAACAAGCGTTTAAACACCTCAGGCTTCCCAGACACTATTTGCTTTGAAACAAAGCTTCCTAAAACACATTGTAGGGACTTGGTTTTTTTTTCTAGTCCTCCAACCTTTCAACTATATCAACTGTTTTATTCACTCTCACCTACCTGGGGGTGTGGCTACCATACTGTGTCTCTTCATATTCCAGGGATCTTTTCCTTGCTCCAGACAGGTGATCCAATCTGGCGTAGAGACAGCAATACCTGGTTTTTTAAAAATAAATAACATGAAATCTCGCTCATATTCTCTAATTACCAACCTAGTACTGTGCTTAGTAAAGAGGACGTCATAGAATATTCTAAAAAATTAATCCCAAAATACTATTTAATGACAGAAAGTTCTTAACATTTAGAAAATATTTTAAATTTGTAGGTCCTTAATTTCACTATCCTGTACTCATGAGTCAAAAATTAGTGGTGGCAAATCGATTTTAACATGGGGTAACAATACTTTATACGACTAAATTTCTGAAATTACCACTACTCTAGAGTGAAGGATACAGACCAACGTAGGAATGTAAAGTTCAGGCCAAAATAAAACATCTTGAATAAAGTTTTTTCTACATGAACAGTTCCTCAAGATTTCTTGAAAACAGGGATCAGAAACTCATTATGCAAAGCATAAATTACCAAAAATTATTCTATAAAAATAGAGAAATGAAACCCTTAGGATATGTAAAGAATTGTGTATTAAAGTTATTCTCACCCAAGAAAACCAGGTTCCTGTAGTTCTCTAACATCACTTTTCTATACAAATCTTGCTGAGCAGTGTCCAGGCACTGCCACTCCTCCAGAGAGAATTCGATGGCCACATCCCTAAATGTCAAGGGCCCCTGAAACACACACACACACACATATATTTACAAATGTCTTGGGGTGGAATTTATCATTTAAGGTTAAACAAGAATAAAGAAAACTGGTTCTGACTTGTAGGAATGACTGAAATTATTCAATAATTTTCAACACAGAAATATTCTCATGTATTCTCTAACTCTCAGAGAATTGTATAAGATCCACAAAACCAGTGTATATGATACTTCTGAGTGCTACATTTGCATCACAAAGAATAAATACTGTATATTTTCCAGACAAAAAAATGTGGAGTTAGAAGGCACCTCTCAAGTTTCAATGTGTACAATAAACTGGAGATCTTGGGCAGATTTTATTTTTTCCACACAGCACTGTGCTGGGAATAACACATTATGTGATTAAATCCTAGTAATGCCTTGATGGTTCACAGTAAGTGTTCAATAATTCCCAGGATTTAGATAAAGGGCTCAGAATTAGTATTTCTTCCTCTCTCTGTCATTGATTCTCCTAAAAATATGTAGACTAAAAGCTAAATATAGACAGATGGAGATAAATAAGAAAATACAGCCGGGTGCGGTGGCTCAAGCCTGTAATCCCAGCACTTTGGGAGGCTGAGGCGGGTGGATCACGAGGTCAAGAGATCGAGACCATCCAGGTCAACATGGTGAAACCCCGTCTCTACTAAAATACAAAAAATTAGCTGGGCATGGTGGCGCGTGCCTGTAATCCAATCTACTAAGGAGGCTGAGGCAGAAGAATTGCCTGAACCCAGGAGGCGGAGGTTTCAGTGAGCCGAGATCGCGCCATTGCACTCCAGCCTGGGTAACAAGAGCGAAACTCTGTCTCAAAAAAAAAAAAAAAAAAAAAAAATACAAAAAATTAGCGGGGCATGGTGGCACGTGCCTGTAATCCCAGCTACTCAGGAGGCTGAGGCAGGAGAATTGCCTGAACCCAGGAGGCGGCGGAGGTTGTGGTGAGCCGAGATCGCGCCACTGCACTCCAGCCTGGGTAACGAGCGAAACTCCGTCTCAAAAAAAGAAAAGAAAAGAAAATACAGACATAGAAAGAGTTTAATATAGGTTAGAGAATTTTTTTTTGGGTGTTTATATTTACTTGTTTGTAACTTGTGCAACGACTGGATCTGCAGGAATAGAAAAGCTGCCAAATGGAATGTTTCTGTAAGCACTGGTTTTACTATAAAATTTAAAAATTAAGATTTTAAACTGTATAGTTTATTTTTCTTTTTTATCGCTTTTGGGTTTCAGGATATCGTGAGCACCAGCTGTAGAAAATCAGCAGGATGTACGCGCGAAAACTTGAATCTTTATACATCAGTTTTGTAAGGAAAGACTCCAGAGTGGGGCCAGACCTAAATAAGGCCTCCAAAAAGGGTGAATCGGATCAGAACTGGGGCAGGGAGAAGACCCTAGGTAGAATTTGTTGTCTATGCCTCTGGGGTACTTCCAGTTCTGTTTTTCTTAAGCTTACCTAAAAACTTACATCTCAGAGTTTATGTAATTTTAATGGATTTTGACACTGCTGTTAATTTTATACCATATATTAATAAGCATTTTTTTAACATAAACTCAAAATTTTATTGTCTTCATTAAAAAAAGTTGACACAGAACTGGATCACTCAGCTCTTTCTCTTCTTATCTCCTCCCAGTTCAAATACGTGCCTCTTTTAATAGCCAGCATTCTCTTAGGTCTCTCAGGGCACTCAAGCCTCAGCACAATCTTCTTTGCAGTTTTAGCCTTTTTCCAAAAAATTGGCTTAGTTTGCCCAACATAGACACTCTGCTTTCTGTCGTGACACCGCTTTCCCTGGGCATACAAAGAATCCTTGCCCTTCTTGTACTGTGTCACTTGGTGGGGTTGGTGCTTGCCACATTTCTTACAGAAAGCCCGGCAGGTTTTAGGAATGTTCACCATGTGTGCGTGAGCGCTATCAGCACAGAAGGCACTAATAAGCAATTTAAATGAATCTTTTAAAGTTTTCTAGAATAATTTTATTAGAAGATAAATATGTATTCTCAGAAAAGTAAAAGAAAAATAATGATAACTCTTCAGTCCATAAATATACCTTCAGGTAATAACAGAAGTCAAACAATATTTTTTAAAAATTGACCCAAGGTGTTTTGTTTTGTTTTTGCACACATCTATTCACTGCACCAACCATATGATGCTTAATTCAACCATGTATCCAGTTGCTAGTCTGGACTAGAAGTTACCGGATGGTAGGGATCATGACTGCTTCATCTGTTTTTTCAATGACCATATGAAATGGAAGCAATTAGTTTATTTGAATCACCAGAACTCCTCTTTGTGTTTCACCCAAGTACCAGAAAACTTCAGAAACTCTCATCTGGGTACCAACCAAAGTTACTCTTTTTTTTTTTTTTTTGAGACAGAGTTTCGCTCTTGTTACGCAGGCTGGAGTGCAATGGCTCGATCTCGGCTCACCGCAACCTCCGCCTCCCGGGTTCAGGCAATTCTCCTGCCTCAGCCTCCTGAGTAGCTGGGATTACAGGCATGCGCCACCATGCCCAGCTAATTTTTTGTATTTTTAGTAGAGACGGGGTTTCACTATGTTGGCCAGGATGGTCTTGATCTCTTGACCTCATGATCCACCCGCCTCGGCCTCCCAAAGTGCTGGGATTACAGGCTTGAGCCACCGCGCCCGGCCAAAGTTACCTCTTATATCAGAGAGAAAACACAGGCTTACACCGATACAGAAGCAGAATTAATCATTCTTGTTAGCCTGACGCAATTCTGTCCTGGACATCCTCAAATGTCTTAAAGACAGTTAGCTGATTGTCAGAGGATTCCCAGTGACCCAGGGCTGATGGCCCAGTGATAAGCTAGGCTGGAGAAACTCAGGCTGATTCTAAATAGAAAATGGAACTGCCTTGGTGGAGCTCCAGAAGCTGGATCACCTACCCTGATTTGCCAGCTTTTGGGTAAGGAGGACAAGAATACTCCAGTATCACAATTTAAAGGCAGGTATAGTTGTGGTCATGGTTCTGGATACTTTGTGGCCTTGAACTCTTACTCTTAAGATACTTGTGCTGGGCGAGGTGGCTCACGCCTGTAATTCCAGCACTTTGGGAATCGGAGGCAGGTGGATCAAAAGGTCAGGAGATCGAGACCATCCTCACCAACATGGTGAAACCCTGTCTCTACTAAAGATACAAACAAGTAGCTGGGCATGGTGGCACGAGCCTGTAGTTCCAGCTACTTGGGAGGCTGAGGCAGGAGAATTGCTTGAACCCAGGAGGCGGAGATTGCAGGGAGCTGAGATCGCGCCTCTGCACTACAGCTTGGGTGACAGTAAGAGACTCTGTCTCAAAAAAAAAAAAAAAAAATTAAAACAAAAAAGTTTGTTTACACTTACAGATTCTGTCATCAGATTCTATTTACACCTGGAGCCTCTCACATAACTGTAGTGGTCACTAAACAAGATCTGAAAAGCTTCAAGAGCCACACTCAGAAACTGGGGAAGCGGGGAAGGGGACTCTAAGATTTTTATGTTGACAGCCAGGCACGGCGGCTCACACCTGTAATCCCAGCACTTTGGGAGGCCAAGTCAGGCCAACTATCTGATCTTTAAAACTGACGAGAGAAATATGAAAAGAATTCTCTATTTAATAAATGGTGCTAGAACAACTAGCTAATACTATGTAGAAGATTAAAACTGGTCCCCTTCCTTATACCATATATAAAAATCAACTCAAGATGAATTAAAGACTTAAAAGCAAAACTTATAATTAAAAAAAAAAAAAATACCCAGAACATAAATAACCTAGAAAATACCATCCTAGGCATAGAAACTAACAAAGATTTTATAATAAAGATACCAAAAGCAATTGCAACAAAAGCAAAAATTGACAAATAGAACTTAATTAGTTTTTTCACAGCAAAGGAAAGTATTAACAGACTAAACAGTCTACAAAAAAGAAAATTGCAAGCTATTCTTCTTTCAGAGATTTAATATCCAGAATTAAGAAACTTAAGTTTAAAAACAATATACCACTGCAATAAAAAGTAGGCAAAAAACATGAACAAATGCTTTCCAAAACACAAATACATGGCCAGCAAAATACTTTTAAAAATGCTCGCCGGGCGCGGTGGCTCAAGCCTGTAATCCCAGCACTTTGGGAGGCCGAGGCAGGTGGATCACGAGGTCGAGAGATCGAGACCATCCTGGTCAACACGGTGAAACCCCGTCTCTACTAAAAATAAAAAAAAATTAGCTGGGCATGGTGGCGTGTGCCTGTAATCCCAGCTACTCAGCAGGCTGAGGCAGGAGAATTGCCTGAACCCAGGAGGCGGAGGTTGCGGTGAGCCGAGATCGAGCCATTGCACTCCATCCTGGGTAACAAGAGCGAAACTCCCGTCTCAAGAAAAAAAAAAAAATGCTCATTACATTAGAGAAATGTAGACAAAAACAAAACAACAACAAAAAACTACAAGGAGATACCACCTCACACCAGTCAAAATGGCTGTTGTTAAAAAAGTGAGTAACAGGTTGGGCACAGTGGCTCATGACTGTAATCTCAGCACTTTGGGAGGCCAAGGAGGGTGAATCACGAGAGATCAGGAGTTCAAGAGCAGCCTGCGAACATGGTGAAACTTCAACTCTACTAAAAATACAAGAATTAGAGGGGCATGGTGGTACACTTCTGCAGTTTCAGCTACTCAGGACGCTGAGGCAAGAGAATCACTTGAACCCATGAGACAGGGGTTACAGTGAGCTGAAATTGTGTCACTGCACTCTGGTCTAGGCAACAGAGTGAGACTGAATCTCAAAAACAAAAGTCAGTAACAGATGCTGGCAAGGTTGCAGAAAGAGGGAATGCTTGTACACCATCGGTGGGAGTGTGAGTTTAACTTTTGTGAAAAGCAGCATGGCAATACCTAACAGAATTAAAAACAGGTCTGGGAGTAGTGGCTCATGCTTGAAATCCCAGTACTTTCAGAGGCTGAGACAGGCAGAACACAAGGTTAGCAGTTCGAGACCAGCCTGGCCAATATGGTGAAACCCCGTCTTTACTGAAAATACAAAAATTATATGGGCATGGTGGCACACACCTGTAGTCCCAGCTACTTGGGAGGCCGAGGCGGAAGAATCGCTTGAACCCAGGAGGCAGGAGTTGCAGTGAGCTCAGATCACGCCACTGTACTCCACCCTGGGCCATAGAGTGAGACTCTGTCCCTCACCCCCAAAAAAGCTATCTATATTAATGTTGCCATCTGCTATTGAGAAGAAAATTTACTGGTTAGATTTACCTTAAGATCTCCAATGGGCATACAACTGCAAATGTTTAAAGGGATCCTTCTGAGTCGTGAGATTATCAACCCAAGGTTTAAGGTCCTGAAGTCTTGAATTAGTGGGGCATGATGGTGCACTTCTGTTTTATCAGCTACTTGGGAGGCTGAGGCATAAGAATAGCTTGAACCCGTGAGGCGGAGGTTACAGTGAGGTGAGATTACACCACTGCACTCCAGTCTGGGTGACAGAGTGAGACTCTGTCTCAAAAACAAGTCAATAACAGAGGCCAGCAAGGTTCCAGAAGAGGGAATGCTTATATACTGCTGGTGGGAGTGTAAATTAGTTCAAGACCTAATGGGCAACATGACAAAACCACATCCCTACAAAAAATTAAAAAACAAAGATTACGTGTAGCCGGGCGCGGTGGCTCAAGCCTGTAATCCCAGCACTTTGGGAGGCTGAGGCGGGTGGATCACGAGGTCAAGAGATCGAGACCATCCTGGTCAACTTGGTGAAACCCCGTCTCTACTAAAAATACAAAAAATTACCTGGGCATGGTGGCACGTGCCTGTAATCCCAGCTACTCAGGAGGCTGAGGCAGGAGAATTGCCTGAACCCAGGAGGCGGAGGTTGTGGTGAGCCGAGATTGCGCCATTGCACTCCAGCCTGGGTAACAAGAGCAAAACTCCATCTCAAAAAAAAAAAAAAAAAAAAAAGAGAATAATTGTTTAGATATCTATAGTTTTAATCTGTGTGTACTCATGCAGAGCAGGCATTCTGAATTACTGGCATTCAATGAATGGCAGCAAAATTTCACAGAAAAACTCATTACGATGATTAAAGTTTAATAAATATTAGAAGGACAACAAAATAATTTCTTTATGGCCGTGCGTGGTGGCTCATGCCTGTAATCCCAACACTTTGGGAGGCCGAGGTGGAGGGGGGGGGGAAATCACCTGAGGCCTGGAGTTCAAGACCAGCCTGGCCAATATAGTGAAACCCCGTCTCTATTAAAAATACAAAAAATTCACCCGGCTCGGCGGCACGTGCCTATAATCCCAGATACTCAAGTGGCTGAGTCGCGAGAATCGGTTGAGCCCGGGAGGCGGAGGTTGCAGAGAGCCGGGAGAGCAGGACTGCACTCCAGCCTGGAGACAAGAGCGAGACTCCGTCTCACAGAAAAAATAATTATTATCAGGAAAAGCTGAAGACCCTACGGGCTGTATCCCCTCCCACGCACACACCGAGTGGGAATTTTGCACTGATGACCTGCCTGAAATCCCTGAACAATGTCGGAAATATCCGGGGCTGCGGGTGCAGAGCTGCCCAGAGAGCTCCAGACAGGGCGCCCCGCAGGT